GCCACCTCTCTGGAGACTCTAATTCCTCACTAGACAACACTGTGCGCCGATTCTACAATGATCTCTTCCCTTTGGTTTACCGTCGTCTGCTCAACCCTGGGATTGGCCACATGTCACTCCAGACCTATCCCTCCACCTCCACCACTCACGACGACTGTCTGAGGTTGACGCGGCAGGATGTCAGCCCCTTTGGACCCCACCCTCGCCTCCTGGTCAGCAGCCTGTCCCGTGCGCTCAGGGCAGGCCGAGCGTTGAGCAGACTGCTCAGACTGGCTGGAGAGGTTGTGAATGCGACCGAGAAGGCGACGTTATCCAGAGAGTGTGGGCGAGGGTTAGTGAGGATGCAGTACTGTTCCCACTGCAGAGGGCTGACACTTATACGGCCCTGTACCGGACTATGTGTTAACATCATGAGAGGATGTCTGGTAAGTGGTTGAATGTTTGTGAACTCAGAGTTTGGATATATGTATTGTTTTGCAAGCCTCAGCCTCATTACCTCATCAGAATCTACTTTTAAAGGAATTGTCTTTTTGAGAGAGAGGGAGATAAGACGTTTGATGTCACTCTGAAGTCTGTGTGCTAAATATGGAGCCGGAGCTTGGAGTCCATTAGCGTGGCCTAGCATAAAAACTAGAAGCAAGGGAAACATTTATCCTGGCTCTGTCCAAAGTGCATTAACACACCTACCAGTGCCTCAAAATTTTACTTACGTATTATATTTTGTTTATTTAATCCATACACAAAAAGAAATTAAAAAGGACAATTTGTGGTTTTATTAGGTGCTGGAAGAAGTAAGAAGAAGCACATTTCCCAATGTTCAACTATTCCAGTAAATTAACTTGCTCAAGAACTTCCTGACACCTCTAAATTATTTGTAATCTCCTTCCAGATTGAGAGTTTGGAGATTAGCAAAAGGTCATCTAATGTTATTTTTTTCAGGTCAAGTGTGTGTGTATTGCGCTGTGGGATGCTGTTTTAGATGCATGGGAGGTTTCAGGGGGTATTTGTTTCTCTGTGCCTCTGGAGAGGCAAGTAAAAAATTGTTTTAAATCTCCCATCGCTCACATTACTGAATCAGTAAATCACAGCATTTTATCATCAATAAATCATTCCCAAGTTTTAGACTTACAAATAACAAGAGCATTGCCAAGAGAACTGGCAGTGTCTTCCGTGCATCTTACTGGGCTGCCTCGAAATTTGCTGGACAGCTTTAACAGTGCCCACAATGGAGAGACTTCTTTATAGCACAAAACTGGAAGATGGCACTGTTCATCCTGCTTGAAAGTTTCTTGGAAGCAAAGAAAGTGTGATGGAAAAACAACTCCCAACATGGTTATCCTCTTCAGTAGAGAAAAAGAAAGAAAAACACATTAAAGCTTAAAAAAGAGTTAGAAGGACAAGAAGGAACATTCCTACTGTGAAAGGAACAATTTGGTCCATGGGAAATGTGGTCTGTCCTGTCATGAGATGGGAACTGCCAGTCATCTCAAGCATTGGCTAATTTCCCTCCATCAATTTGTTTTTGATTAATGGATTTCGAAATTTGGTATATTAACAAGTGGTGGTTGCAAAAAGGTTCTTGCACACTCCATAGTCTCAGCGATAACAAGAGAACTAAAGGGAAAAATCTAGCACACTGTCCACCAAATGCATCCAAGCTAATTTTACAGCCTTTGAGAAACAAATTTAAACTTGTCTTTATTTTTTTTCTCCCTTTCTTCCTTTCCTGTCCTCCTTCCTCTTTCTTCATTTTTGTAACCATTTCTGCGCCCTTGTATTTCTTCTTCTTTACCTGTTCATTCTGTCCATTCTAGGTGGGTGTATCAGAGCTTGGCGCCCCCTGGGGGAGTCTGGTGGTATTGCTCCAACGGTTAGCCGTCACTTTAGCGACTAGCAGCAACCACAACAGCTTGGAGTTAGCTCTGCTAGCGGTCCGAAACCATGTGAATGATGCCATACTGCACGCTCAGCTGCATGGGCCACGCATTACAGCCACAGTAAGCAGAGGGGATGATGGGATGGAGGGGAAATATCCAAGTGGTTTGCTGTTTACACTCTATACTTGAAATTTTTATATGTAAGAAATTTGGACTCTGGATGTTGATACCAGTCTACTGAAAAAGTAATTGTGGCCCCTGTAAAATACAATTATTAAAGAGCTTAAAAGTAAATCAGGAGCAGTAACAGATTACTGAAACATCCGTACTCATATGCCCCATAATAAAGTCATTTGAATTTTGGACACAGAGTGAAGAAGGCCGTGGGTTTCTTTCAGCCTGGCAGTTGGATCTCCTCACAAAAGCCTTGTACCTAGATGGGCTAAAAACAGCCTCATTCTTCAGAGAATCTGGGGTTCCCCTCAGTCTGTGTGTGTGTGCGAGTGTGTATGTGAGTGTGAATACAGATCCAGTGCCAGACAAAGGCTTTGGTTGGCGGGACAACCGATACCCAGAATGCAGCTTGGTTCTGAGTGATGAGAAAGTTTCTGTGGCTAATCTCCGGACAAACAGACGACACACAAACACATGCATGCACACACTGTTGGAGGAAGAAATAGAGTAGCTGTCCAACTTTGAGAGAACATTGTGGACTTAGTAGAGTAGATTCCTGAGAGGTAAACAAACACACAAGCATAATCACACTGCTAATTGTGGCTAATAAGAAAATACCACTTCATCAAATATTTGATCAAGCTTTTTATTCATTGGAGACATCACCAAAGGCTAAGCCCTAACCTTTTAACAGTTTACAGGCGCTATGTGCAGCATTTAGGGTCAATAAATCATTATACCACAAATTTTGAGATCACAGTAATTTCTGTAAATGAGGAAAAACTGCTCCAACATGTTGGGTTTTGAGAAAAAAAATTGTTTGATTTCCCAACACAATGGGACACTTAACGGCACAAAACAAATTTTGCTCTGTACAGTGGTAAAGTGGTTAGCACTGTCGTCTCACAGCAAGAAGGTTCTTAGCTCAAACCTGCCAGCCGGCTGGGGAGTGTTGTGGACAGGGTCTCCTCCGTGGGTTCAGGGTCAGGTTAACTGGCAACTTGAAATTGCCCGTAGGTGTGAATGTGAGTGTGAATGGTTATTTGTCTCTATGAGTCAGCCCTGTGATAGACTGGCGACCTGTCCAGGATGCACCCTGCCCTCGCCCAATGTCAATTGGCACCAGCCCCTGTAAGGATGAGCGGTTTGGATAATGGCTTGGAAATTAATTAGTTCTATTCATTCATTTCAGGATTAGTTGTTGTAGAGGTACATTTTGACGTCAATATAGAGTTTATTATTTCATTTTAATAGTCTTTTGTGTGGCTGTGGCGGTTAGTCTTGAACCTGTTGGATATTAGCTTTTGTAATGGCCACCCCCTTGCTTTCACTCAGGAATGTGTTACCTGTTGGCTAATTGAACAGTATTAAAATCAATGTGAGCTAAGTAATTGTATTAATAGTGGTGGAAAGTAATTAAGTACATTTAATCGAAATACTGTTCTTAAGTACAATTTGGAGGTAATTGTACTTTACTTGAGTTTTTCTATTTTATGATACTTTATACTTCCACTGCAATATATTTCAGAAGGAAATGATTGTCACGTATAATTCTCACTCTGAAAATAGCTAATGATAGATGCTTGAAACATTCAGCATCTGCCTCTGCAAGGGACAGTGCAAACTTGAGTGAATCTACTTTTTAAAGCGACCAAAAAAACAAACTGAAACCACTGTTACTCCATGTATATCACTACGTGCGACCTCATGAGCCTGTCCAATAAACCACAGTGCAAACTGTCTCCTCCTCAGGTAGAGAAGGTGTGCGGTCCGCAGGCAGCTGGTCCCATGATGACGAATGCAAAACCCTCCACCTACCATATTACAACCTCAGTGACTTCTGCTGCATTACTAACCTCAGAGAGGTCATCTGTCACCTCACCTCCCTCAGTGGGTCCTGTTGCTTATCAGCGTCTGCAGCTGCAGTCCCGCAGGTGAGTTACATCTGAGAATATTCGGGGCCACTGTAGGTGAATTAAATCAGTGAACAGAGAGATAGTGTAGAGGTTTTATTTTAGTTTCAACCTTGAGTCATAGCAGAAGAAAATCAATTCAGATATTTGGCTGTGTGTGTTTATATGTCTGTTTGTGTTTGCACATTTGTATTCCACCAGGTTGTTCCCTCTTAAAGGTTCCAGAGGTGACAAGAGTCGAAGCCTGAAAAAACTGTCTAGGTAAATTCGTCTCAATCAATTGCGCTTTTAATTATTACCACTGGAGTATTACATCCCATGCACTTGTCCATAATCAAGAAGTAAAATGCCAGACATCTAATTACTTGCTAATGTATTTTCATGTATTTCACAACACTTGTTTACTCTGTCCATTTATCAGCCTTCAGTGAAGAGCCCGTGTCAAAGGTGTTCTTCCAATGAGAACATCTAAATATCAGATATCACATATTAGATAACACAGATATTCCCTCTAATAATGGTAGTCACAGACCAAACACTCAACTTTTAATTGCTTTAACTGCATTTCAGTAATACAATCTTTGTGTTTTATGTTTAATGTCTCCCAAAGGATACAGTCATTTTCTAATGTGACTTTGAGAAAATACAACCTGAAATCAGACAACTCATTAAATGAAAACCTTCATATCAGATTTGCATTAATAATTCATTTTCAAAAGTGCTAAGAGCTTCCCTTTTCCCTTCCCCGTGTTGTTTTCAGTAACTTACCAGAGTCTATCAGAAAGCATTTCACAGGTAATTGGACGTGACAAGTCTTAATTGGAACAAATAAAAACTTATGATACATTGATCCTACTCCTCCCTACAACAACCCTGGCAATCAACTGTGCACAACTCTCTGTCTCTCTTTCAGGGAGTTTGAGGGCTCTATACAGCGGTACCAGTGGTTTTTCTCAGAGCTGCCAGAGATGCTTTGTGAGAGTGAGATGGAGGTTGAGCAGCACACATGCTGGAGTGGCCAAGACGTTGCAGAGAGGTATGTGTGTTGCACTGAATGCATTACTTTGTAGCTAAAGAAAATTCCCAGGAAGGACGCACCAAACACCGGGAATGTAGAACAGCTGCTCAGACACAATATGTGGTCCTTGACTGCTACCCGAGGCAAGCATCCATTTCTGGCATTTAATGCTCATAAAGTTCAATACTGGACCAATGATGAAATTGCAAACCCAAATGGAGGGAATGCAGGGCTCCAGACTAACTTTTTACATTGATGATGATGTCATATATAATAATACATCAGTCAGAGGGCCCAAACCAGTTCTTTTACTTTCATACTGTAACTACATTTTGCTGCTAATACTTATTATTATTTTTTTTTTTCTAAGTGGGATTTTTCATGCTGGCCTTTACTTTTTACATTGCTGTATTGGTATATTTAGTTGTTCCACCACTGATCTTACTGGGGACAGGGGAGACAGGTGGTGGGTGGAGCGGTTACCTCTGCCAATGATATTGGGTCTGGGCTGGGTTTTTCGGGGGTGTGGACAGGTGTAAACAGGAACAGCACCATTTTTTCTTGATTGAATAAAAATTCAGTATTTCTCTTCATTTTGAATTACTGGTATGCTTTAAGGTAGGGACATGGCTCGAGGAGTACAGCGCATGCGTGTTTCAAACAAACATAGCTTATTTTTTCCCCACATTCACTGTAGAAGAAAATCAGGGTCAGAACCAATCAGAGGCGAAAAAAACAATTCAATTGATACACATTGAGACAGACCTGCGTAACAGACCAGGCGTACTGGTGCGACCAATGAAAATGTTTAGTCGCACTTCACAGATTTTGAATGGTCGCACTCTACAGCCCTGGAATGTGACATTTCATTGTTTCACTTTACATCCAATATGCTGGAGTACCGGACGAAAGCTTCACTATTCAAATGCTACACTGAATGTGTGTAGGAGCGAGAGAAGAACTTGGAGAGACAGAGTTGTGACGTTGATGTTGGCTTTGGATGCTAGGCCACGTTTGTGCTTAAAGATTTCATCAGCTGTTGGTCTTGGATCAGGCTTGGGCTGAATTCTCAGGCGTGTGCAGTATTGTGGTGGCCCTGTAAAATCCAAGGTGGTGCATGATTAATTATTTACTTCTCTCTTAATTTCTCTCTTACAGTATTTAGCATTGCTCTCTTGTGCTTAAAATTCCACAGACTCTGCAGTATATTACAGCAATATTAATGTACAGTAGGAGGTGTATTTATTCCAATGTACTGATTATGTCCAGATACAGTCTGGGGTTAAGTGCCATCTCAACTCAGCTGCACTTTACTGGTGTAAATCATGTTTTTCTTACTTTAGGTAAGCCTGATATCAATGTCATATCTCCTAAATTGTTGTTGAGAGGTTCACAATCCATTCAGTGTGTTTGTATTTTCTACATTTAACTGAAACAAAACTTTATGAGCATCAAATGCAAGAAATGAGTGCATCACTTAGGTAGTCATCCATGACTGTGTATTCATTTTACTCAGAATAATTTTTACATCAAAAAAAGGGGACAAAAGTGCAGCATATGTGAGTGTGTGTGCATGTGCGTATGTGCATGTTTTTCTGTGTGTGTGTGTGTGTGTGTGTGTGTGGCTCCTAATAGTTGCCAGGGCAGGGGGGTGACAGGGTTGTGAAGGTTAGAGAGTTCATTTCCAGAGTCTTTCTCATGGTGATTACATTGGCAGCTTAAACTGGTAACAAGACAAATGGGTGCACGCGCATGCACACACACGCGCGGACACACACACACACACACACAGACACACACACGCACACACAAACATTAAGTTCCATTTATCTTGGTAGGGAATCGGTTGCTGTGATGGAGAAGGTTTTCCATTAATGGTCTATCAGACATATGAAACCAGCCATGTAGTCTTGCAAGGACATCCTACACAAACACACACAAACACTTTGCTTTGTCACTATCAGTGCTACAGTGAAGGCCAGTAAACCTTGTATTTAATGACTCTGCCATTTTATTGTGTCTGCTGGTATTTTACTGTAAGAAAAGTGGAACAGGACCTCCCTTTAAATATATAACTAAGCTTAAAAGGACCACCGATCATTAATACATTCCATAGTATACATCAATATACAATATGCATTAATAATAAACATTATAATCTACATCAATGTGTATTATTATGTCTTGGAGAAATGCAGATGATTACACCCTCAATGTTGCAACTCTTGTGGTTGAATATGCTCCATCTTACAGTATGGCTGAATGTGACGGACATGTATAACCTTTAAGCAGACACTAGAATTAATTAAAAAAGTCACCAAATTGTGATTATCATAATTGCTACAATGTTGCATAAGCTTTGCAAACAGCTTCAACTGGTATTTTAGTCCCTAAACTTGTCACAGCCAAGACAACCTTCTGGCTGAATACTTTGCCTTAAGTCCAAGAACTGTGCTGCTAAAGTATTTGGATGGAGTTCAACCCCAGAGAAGCAGTTTATCATATTCAGCCAAATCATTGCCACACAGTAGGGATGTTACTGAGAAATGAAGTGTGATTAAGTTCTCATTTTGAAATGTTGGCCATATTTTAAAGATAAATCCATACTTTATTTTTAATTCTGTCTGTCAGTAAGGTGATGTTTGTACACATGAACAAAACTTGAAGTAAAAATTTCAGAAATCCTCAGTCATCTGTGAAGTACGTGGTTTAGGGTGGTGGATTTTTTCTTAGAGGGTTAGAGGAGATGTTGCAATTGGCCTGTGTTGGATTGCAGCCAGTCTGTGCCTCTCTGACCTCTTTACATCTTCTTCTCTCTTGCATCTATCCATCCACCCATTCATTCATTAATTCAGCCATCCATTCATCTCTCCATCCTTCTATTCAGACCCCCATTCATCTCCTCCGCCCTCTGACCCACTTCACTTACAAATGTCTGTGTTGGTGAGAGTGTGTGTATGTGTGAGGTAGAGAAAGAGGCGGCAAAACGCACAGAATGATGAGAAAGTATTATGGAAGGATGATAAAAGAGGGGACAGCAGATTATAAACTTGTCTTTCTTCTGGGTTACGAGCTGGCGTAGTGATGAAGATGGTCACACCTCTGTCTAGGGAAATGAGAGTGCATCGTACAAGATCTCATTTCCTCTGTGGTGCCTAAGTCAAACCTTGAAAGCCTGGAATAATAGAGTGAAAACATTTATTTCTAAAGCCGTCTTAAATAGCATCTTTCAAGAGTTTTACCTAAACTAACTCTAACTAAACCATTTCCTACAGTTTACAAATACAATCTCTGTTCATCATATTTACAATATTAAACAACATGACAATAGACTCTCAGAATACATCTACCAACAAGTAGCCTTGAACAACCTAACAATTTGGAGACCACTGAGAAAATGCTGCTATTAGCTGCCAACACAAACTGAAGGCCCAAGGCCAAATATAAACTAAGGTGATGGGGGGACCAAACTGGCAGCAGACTATCCTCCAATCGCTCCAGGCCATTCCACCTTATCCACCTACACACACACCCACACAGGCGAGACTCTCAAGCACACTCAGCAGAGCACAGAGTAAAATGACGATGGGTCATTATGTTATACAGTACATATAAACTATATTCAGATAAGGCTGTTTTTAGAATAACCATTTAAATTACATCATGTGGCAGGTAGGATGATTTCATTTTGTTAACAAAAAAATCACACAGAGAAATAATCTCATACTGGTACAACTGATCCACATCAAATGGTACAAATGAAAATGAAATTATTCCAGTGTGTGCAATATGTAGTAGAGTGCTGATTATGTATTTGAACTATTGATTGTCTGGCCTGTAAACAAGATACAAGTAGTACAGTACAACAATGTACTGATATTGTGTAACTGGTGTGGAATATTCATAACAGTTGCAGGTAAATGTTTTAAAAGATGTGTCTTATGCATTGACAGGTTAAGCTGTACTTTCTTTGCAGCCATTTAGAACTGTAATAGCTGAGTTTCTCCAATAGAGGGAGGTATCTTATCATCATCCTCAGTAACCAGACAGTCACTCTGCTTTCACCACTGAAGACCTGCCACACCCAATTTTTTGTTGTGTTTTGTGTATTTTCTTAATGCATGAATATTTGTTGTACATAAGCCATAACCACTTCACAGGCAGAGGAAAATTTATATTTTTCAGAGGGGATTATAGGGAGGATAGAGAAGTGTGTGTCTGTGCCTACATGTGTGGTTGCAAACCTGTCCACCATTGGACCTCCCCATTGTTACACACTCACTAACAATGGACCAGTAGCCAACACAGTCAGTGGCAGTGGGAAAATGACACATAGCTCTATATACAAATATATATATGGACTATATGGAGATATACTATATGGACTTCAAAATTCACTGCAGAGCAAATGTCTCACCGTCTTAGACGGTCCGGCTAGACCATCTTGTCACTTTTCAGTACCGAGTCACTGTAGTGTCCAGCTGTTCCAGAAGAAGTAGCGCTGCTCAGAGGGCGTATTATAATCTCTTGTAAACACAACAATGGCTGAAGCTTTTGGCAATACTAGTCACTATACAGCTGTTAATACTAATGTCAGCTATGTAGCAATAGCCAAACTTACAAATGCTCCTGACCAGATGGCTCAAGGAGTCAGAGGCCCATTGATACATTTTGAGGTTAGAGCTACAATCCTTTTGATGCTCACTATATTTTGACATCCAGAGTGCAAAGGAAAGACTCAAAAGCAAAAGAAATGAAGTTCAAGTGTGTCTACTCTAATAGCTCAGGTAAGTTTTGAAATATTAGGCTCAATCCAGGTGCTGCACTTTTGAAGTCCAACACCTAAAGAAAACATTCAAAGGCTCTAACAAATATTGGTCAAGTCTTTATACAACTAGCTCACGATGTTAGGAGTGCTTGGAAGTGTTGAGGATGTGGGTGCGACCCTTAGGCTCACTGAATTTTCAAGTCCCTCATGCAAAAACTCAAATGCTGTAAGACATATAGCTCTGAAGTGT